CTCTATTGGTTGTCATTGGTTATATGGATATTTTAGAAATCTATTTTATGTGCATTGATATAAAAAGTCAATGATCAAATAAATTGGTTGCGTGTAGTGAATTGGTCCATTAGAATTTCCTATAAGAATTGTTCACTTTTTATTTAGTTTACTAAATATAGGTACATTGTGTTGCATTATTATTACCTCCTCTAAAATAGGTTTTGAATTCACCGATGTCTGTTAGCAAGATTATAATAATTATAATAATATAGAAATTTATATAGCGCCTTTTATGTAATTATAAGTAAAAACATTCAAGGATAAAAACACAGAAAAGTACAAAAAGCAACTTATTTCCACTGTGATCCCTAAATGAGAATACAAAAATTACAGAATATTAATAGAACAATAAGGAAACAATACAATAAATATACATTTTCAAAACATCAGAGTCAAATTCAACCTAATTAAAATCAAAGACTTTAAACTATATATTATTTAAAAGTTCAGAAATATAGTGGTTCTTAATGATTTTTTTGAATGTGTATAAGGATTGTGCATTTTGAACATCATAAGGTAATTTATTCCATTCATCAATAGCGGTATCAATAAATGAAAATCTACTATGTGTACCAGATTTTTGTTTATAAATTGACATTCTAGAAGTAGAAAATCTAGTATTATAGTAACTAATGAATGGATCATCAGTAAAATTTAGCTAAGTGGTACATAATAATCGAAGAAAGAGACCGTTCAATTTTTGGAGAAAAAGGTCAAGGTCACAGAAATTTTATCAAAAGAAAATATTGTTCAGTATTCAGGTAAAGGGTGGAAATTAATGGAATTGCCCACCATACATGGCCCGTGTATTGTTTGGTATTCAAGCACATGGAGTGACTACTCTAGTTATTTCTTAATTATGTTTATTATTTATTTATATTTTTTCTTGTTATTAAAGCGAAATGTACATTTTTCAGACTGACACTTTTAATGTTGAGGCTGTCTCGCTTGGCAACTTGAAGAAAATTATAATTGGCCATGATACGACTAATGAGGGTGAGTAAAATACCACATAGATCACTGTGTGTTTAGTGGGGTTATTTTTCAAATATCATAGGCCATATAAGTAACAAAACAATAAATATCACCATGTTTTGGATAAATATCCCTGTGCTTTAACTTAATAGTGCTTATTAAGTTAAAAAAAACTGTTTGATTACAACAAATTTAAAATGAAGACCTATGGAGAAGTGAATGTAGTGTTCTAGTCTTATAATAACTGAACTTTAAAAAAACAATAATAATTCAAATGTTCAAATAATTTCGTTTGGCTTCTGATATTTTAGATGAATTTTCTTTAATACTAAGCCAACTGTATTACACTACAGATTCGACCAACTTCATTGATCTTCCTGAATAATAATTCACAAATACAATAGTAAGAAAAATAGCATGCAATATCAAATTTAAACATAAAATAAAAGAATACAGTATAAATAAATAAATAACATAGAAATATATACAGCCAATTGAATGTACATGTATTGGTGTCAATAGAGTGTCACTGTCATATACGTACCCATTGAGAATATGCCCTTGGCACCACTCAGCCATCTCATGGCAAAACAACGTAACTGCTTTTATATTTTTGTTGCATTGTTTTGCCTTGGAACGGCAGCACTACCCTGCATGGCAGACAATCAAACACCTCAACATGGAACAACATGCTTTGATTAATTATTCTTACTCATTGTATGTAATGCTCTTGATTACTTTGCTCCCGTAGGCTGTGGATGGTTCCTAAACAAAGTTGTCATCCATGATTCATTACACTCTTCCCAAGAGACGGTATTTCCATGCTATAGGTACAGTATTGCAAAATACATTATGATAATTGAATAGAAAGTACATTTGTTAATAATAATGATAACATGATTATTACATATTTTTTAACATTTGAGTTATTATTTGAAATGTATTATTGATGATCAATCTGTTACTGATCCATTGGGGTTATTTTATTGCTGTGACATTGGGCTTATTCGACTGGTACATTTCTTTGACTATGATTTTTTGTTGAGTATTATTTTCATTCAACTGGTTCGTAGATGGACTTCGTTGACAACAAAATTTAATGTAAACCAGAGTGTGTTAATCAGCATTAAGTTATCCATGTGACCAAAACAAACATGGCCGATTAGTTAGTTTAGCAACAACATTTGCATTAATATAATTTTATATTAAATTTCATATTTACCCACATGAATTCAAAAAATAATTGTAGGCTAACTGAATTCAAAAACTGGATGAAAACATTTTGTTTTATGAAAAAACCATACAGCCACAAGCTGAAGCAACCTTAATTATGCAGCGTGTATCGCGGTAACTACGCAGCCATTTTGTTTTGTCGAGTATTTACCAGTTTTCTATTCGACTGTTCATCTTCATTAAGTAGGATTTTACCACTGCGCAGGTGGGCGTGGTTTAATGAAGAACGACCAGTCGAATACAGCCACTGTTTATTCAAAGTTCAACCTAAGAGTATTATTGGCAAGAGGTCTGGCTGTTTGGGTTCCTTAAAACGGAATCTTATCTCAAAAGGTACTGCCACAAACTAGAGGGCGTCCTTCAAAAGAAATGATATACGTGTAAAAGTCATTTGTATCGAACGCGTTCTCCGTCTATAGAACAGATATTTGAATTTTAAGCTGTATTTGAATTCTACTAGGGCATCCCCTCATGGTAGTGTTATTTGTTTCATTGCAATACTCTTTGGTTTAATTTTTTTTTTTTTGCTGGATTTTAACTTTCAACCTTTGAAAAGGATGTCTATGAACAATACATTTTTTTTATGATTTAACTTTTTGATTACGTAATTTATAAATTCTATTTTAGCTGGCTTGATGGAGGCATGGGAGATGGAAAAGTTGTTCGCGAGCTAGTAGCCGACAGCAGCAAGCCACCAAACTG